GACGGAAGAACATGAGTGTTTTTCCCGTGGCTGCATCCACTGACCCCACTGCCTATTACGGTAAAGTCCCAATCCAAGGCTTGAATGATATGCCCTGCTCTGAGTTCAGAATATACCCAAAAGACAACAGAAACTAATTTGAAGATATGGCTAGTACTTAAGAAATTCCGAGAAAAAATTTGCGCGGAATTGGCAGTGATGTTGAAGGGCCAGATGATGGACCCTAGAATATGCGCCACTTAGGTGGACTCCAGCGTCTTCCTCGTCTGCGTCCCTCAATGTGTGAATTTCCCGGCACGACGTCAGAAGTGAGCGTCCTCGGGCAACATTGCTCAAAACCTCTTCTTCTCTTTCTTTTCTCTTCATAGTTTTGATTCTCGTCAAAAAAGTCACTCGCTCACTCATTTAATTCACAGAGATGGCTACAATGTTACCGTCAAAAGGTAAGCATATGCGTGCGGACATCACAGCCCACTTACAAATGCTAAATCCAATAGTCCGTCTCGCAGGCGTACGCAACTGCCTCAATACCTTCGCACGACATATACCTGTCATTTGCTATCCAAGCCACAATCAGAAGCATGGAGGCCTTCGCTTCCAATCGAAGAATGCTACTGCTCGCATTCCACGGTCTTCTCCTCTCGGACTTTCCGCCGAACCGCGACCAACAAGCGTGGTTGAACACGTCCTGTATGCCTCCGTCCAAGTCACTTGCCAACACACGTTGCTGACCTAGTGGTGATACAGTACCACTTTCGATCAGCTAGTCGCTTGGGCACGAAATGGTTCCATGTGGCCGCTCACATTCGCCCTCGCCTGCTGCGGCATCGAGATGATGCACTCCTCGATGCCTCGCTACGACATGGACCGCCTGGGCATCATCTTCCGTGCCTCACCGCGCCAGTCGGACGTCATGATCGTTGCTGGCACTGTTACGAACAAGATGGCTTCGGCTGTACGTCAGTGCTACGATCAGATGCCGGATCCAAAGTGGGTGATTAGTATGGGTAGCTGTGCGAATGGCGGCGGATATTATTATTACAGCTATAGCGTGGTGAGAGGCGTGGATAGGATTTTGCCCGTTGACATATACGTCCCTGGGTGCCCACCGGCGGCAGAGGCATTGCTATACGGTATCTTCCGGTTGCAGAGGAAAATTCAGAAGACGAAGGTGACCAGGATGTGGTATCGCAAGTAGACTGTAGAAGAAATTAGTCCGATAGCTGATGGCTACAATTAACATCTCTTTGTGTTAGCTCGTGAGGGCAGCCAGAGAAAGTCACTCATGCATTTTGATGCGAATGACACTATGTGTATTGATATGACTGTTAAATAATAGGAATCGCAAAGTGTTGGAAAAGTTTGATTGGCATTAAGGTTTAAGCAACATAAAACATAGATGCCTGGCTATGAGCGTGCTTCAATGGTATAATAAACAATTAACGTCGTCCAGAGCCTTTTATCCTCAGCCCGATTTCATTTCGTCTCATCTTCCTCATCGCAGGTACACCAACCCCCTCATCTCTTATTAACACATCATGACAAAGACAACCACGCCGCCTCAACATTGGCCTTAGGATCCGGCGATCCCTTCGCACCCTTCAGCCAGCAGTAGTTCTGGTCCGTACCCTGCTTGCCGGCAGTGACCCAGGCGACGCCGATGCACGGCCCGCCGGCACTCTGCGTCGTGACGCTCAACGCAGCGCACAGGTTCATGCAGTCCTCCATCCTGGTCAATGGGATGTATCCCAGGTCGTTGAAGGGATAGTTCTTGCCGCATTCGCGGACGAACTTCAGGTTGCTTCCGGGAACAGAGTACGTCTTGTTCTCGGCAGATAGGTTCGGGCAGTTTGACGTAGCCTCACCGAAGATCGAGGAGGCTTGTTGGGGCAGGGGAATCGACGTGAAGCCGGTTGCTGTGGCGGATGCTGCTGCTGCTGTTGCTGAGGCGGTTCCAGAGGCAGTGTTTGATGCAGATGCCGAGGCTGTTGCCGCAGAGTTTGACGCTGCTGCTGAGGCTGAGGCTTGTGTTGCTGATTGTTCCAGCTTGCTATAAAGCGGGTTAGTAACAGCATTCATCAAAATGAGTGAAAGTGTCGGTGAGAACTTACGCGTCGCATGTTTGAATGTAGCCCGCATACTGCTGAGCAATCGTACCAGCAGCCGCCGACGCGCCAATCGTGCCGAGAAGAAATATCAACGCCAACAACCCCATCCAAAATGTCGCCGCCCGGATGCCGCATACCCTCTTCTCTCCCTTCCCCGGAGGCGGAGCTGCCGCATAGTCACCGCCATATGCCGATGGTGTCGGTGCAGACTGTGGGTACGGCTGCTGTTGTTGGTACGGTTGTTGGTCGTATCCCGACGGGGGCTTAACGATGTCTTGGTACGGCACGTAGTATCCTGGTCCGCCGGGTGCCGCAGTCTGGTAATGCCCGTCGCCGTTGTTGGCCACCTCTAGGCCCGCGTACTCGGCCGGCATCAGTCCTGCTTGGTACTTCGGGTCACGAGAGTCGTCGGATGATGTTCGTGCGGAGGTGATGTTGTTGGGTGCCAGCGAGGCTGGGTGGCCCTCCGGAGAGCTCGTCGGTCCTGATGTGGCCATGGTTGGCGAGTATTCTTTTTGATCGACGACCTCGTCGCTTCTTCTTTCTTTTATCGCCTGGGTAAGACCACACACCTGGAAGAAAAGGGAAAGGGTTCGGATCTCAGGACTAGTCGGACGGATCAGAGAATAACGTGGTTTAAAGCCGACAATGAGCAACACGAGAAGGAAGCACAACCTTGGCGTAGGATTTCACGACGCCACGGTATTGGTTTTGGGGGGGTACAAGGTCTCATATAACATGCAATGGCACCCCAGGGCCCCCCGGCCAGCCTCTCAGTCTCGAAAGACGCAGGCTGCGATCCGTCGGCCGCTCTTCTCGCGATCGGCCGGTGGTGTAAGAGCCAAAAGTCTGCCCTGTCCCACCAAAAGCACGACCATCTTTGAGCTAATTGGGGGCTCGACCGGGGTTCATGATGCTGTGTTGCACCCAGGCGAATTAGAATCCATGCACAAATGTCGAAAGACATGGCCTCAAACGGACTAGAACCGCCAGCCTTGCAGAGTACGATTTTCTCTCCTCTCCATCGGTTCTCAGGCACCCGGAATGGCGGCCAATAGGGTGAGGGTTTATACGCCAAACCTTTCTTGCCAGTCCAGCATCCTTGGCGCAAGCGGGCGCCCGCTAGCCAGGGGTAAATAATAAGCACGATACTAAAGTGCAATTGGGGACCTGGTCCACGGTCAACGGTCGACAGAACACTGACCGATTCCGGGTTACGGGCCGTGCGTTCTCTGCTTTTGCTGCCTGCAAGTTGAGATGACAGGGTCGCTGGTGTGATGAAACTGGGTTCGATTTGGCAATGAGCTTCAAACTGCCTTTGCCCGTTAGGGTGCTATTGGCGATGCTACCATAGCCGCCGTCGATAGCAAGCTCGTCTCACAGACGGACTTGGCTGGAAGGCTAAGCCACTGCTCTGCGGCCGGTTCCTTGGTTCCCGTCTTTGGTGGTCGAAAACGAAAATCTGCGCGGCAAGCTGAGCAATCACGGCGTCACACGAAGCCGGCGAAGCCTCCGCGGAGACCGGGGCTGAGATGCAGCACAACACCACTGTCCCGATAAGCCGGGATGGGTGTACGGCCTTGGTCAGGGCTGAATGAGTGCTGGACGAGTTCTTGCTATCAAGCAGCTTGTCTGCGATCATGAAGGAGATATTATTGATGCACTCAACGACGTCTTCAACGTAAAACGTGGGAGCCTGATAATGGACGAGGGACCGTCCCAAATTTCATCGTTTATTCCCGCTGAAAGGCGTAGATGATGACATTTAGCGACTGCTCCACCGACAGCCCCAAACCGTGGGCCCAAGGCAGCAGAGATGCTCAGTCTCTTTTGCGGAATTTGCGGAGTTGATGGGGTCGCGACGCAACTGGAGACCGCTAAAACTGCTCTAGGCAGAAGGATTTGGGCCCCTGTCGGCAACAAATTGTGAGAATCTCGCTAAATGAGACGCTTGCTTGCCGGTTTCCTGCACGGTCTTTTGGCCTCCACCAAAGTCCCTTTTCTTCTGCCGCGGCGAACTTAATAGCTTTTTTTTCGAACTATTCAGCAGGTGGGACGTTGTCAGCTTAACTCTAAAAGGTAATTCTTAAAAGCATGGTTGGGGGGTTGGAGTGCCGGTCAGACGAGATGCTGGGGAAGAATAGCGCATGACTCGATGTGTGCTTAGTGGTTCGTCTTCGGAGTCCATGTCCGAAACACGTTTTCCCTGTAACTGAGTATTCTCTCATGCGTGAGAGCTTGTTATGCCTCTGCACTGATGAGGATTTTCTTGTAAGTAATAAGTGCTTCGATCGATTTAGTCTATCCCAGAAAGGCCAAGCACTCCTTCATAGCTGCAAGTTTGGTTAACTTTGAGCGCTGACCACACCACCATCTCTTGCAGCTTACAGTGGCCCATGCCATCCCCGTGCCCACGCGGGAGGGACTTCGGCTTTGAATGGCTCGATAAGTCACAACGTGGTGTTGGAAGATGAGAGCCTTGTAATCTCATTTCTTTATGTTGGTCACTCCAGGGCAGAATTCCTACGAGGTGATCAATTTCCTTTAGTGAAGTCACTCAGGGTACGGTAACCATACAAGCATAGCTTGCAGGCCCCCAGAGCCGCTTCGCGAAGTATTTGCAAGGCTCTGATGACGATTTCCCCTATAGCAACTATCGTTTATTTGTTATTATGCTTACCGAGCGGCGGGTTTGTCTCGGGTGTAGCAGCGCTGAAGTTGACTTGGGCCAGAAGTACCTGCACGAACATGGCGCAGTCGCCAACAACATGCAACAACATGCAGCATAGCCACCGACGAACAACATCGCCAAGCAGATCGGACATCAGCAAGACCACTCTTGTTACTGCACTCTAAATTCAACGTCAGCGTCATGTATTATTCTACTTGCAAGACCAGGTAGCTCAGGTGGTAGAGTATTCATACAGTAGATGAAAGGTCGCGTGTTCAACTCATGCCCTGGTCGTGTTCCTTTTGTTTAGTTATTTGAAACGACTTTAGGCCATTTGCAGTCAATTCAAATGTCATTTCATATCTCTGATACGAGGCCAGGTAGCTCAGGTGGTAGAGCAGTGTACCCTTAGATTCACAGGTCGCGTGTTCAACTCATGCCCTGGCCGCGTTCATTTTTGGTGTACGCCTTTTGAGAGAAGTTCTCGGCGAACAGCATCCACTACACATATGAGGTGGTGTCTAGAAATTTCAGGAGCCAAGTCAATCAGGCAGCGACAGAACCACTCACTTTTAGTCATATAAACAGGCTAACAGTCGTTGTCTTTCATCTAGGTAGGGTGCAAGACCAAGTAGCTCAGGTGGTAGAGCAGCATCCATGTTCAAGATGCCGGTCGCGTGTTCAACTCATGCCTTGGTCGATTTCCTTTTGGATAATTCTTCTCGAGGAAACTTCAACCCAACAATCGCCGATCATTCGTTTGCATTTAATACCAAGCATCTCAGGCGGTAAAGCAGCAAATTAGTTCCGATCGTAAGTGACGTAGTCAACTCATGTCTTGGTCGTTTTGGTCTTTTTACGCGTTCTTCCCTCGTTGGCTGTCGGCTGGGGAAGCAGTTAGACAGTCAAGTATCACGACACTCAATTCTCAATACTATTCCAGCTACATTCCAAACTTATGCTAAGATCTTTGAATGCAGGGGGAAAGACGATGCCTAAAACCATATTTGTCGCCTTCATCCAACTTCAAGTTTAAGCCAAAGAAAGACAAGCGCATGTACGGCCACCGGAGAATATGTTAATCGCCAACGCGCTTTGGAACTTGAGGCAACCATGTGAGGGGGACATAACAAAAAGGCTAAAGCATGATCGCTTGGTTAGTTTACCATTGCGGTCGTTCTCGCAATTCAACTCTCTCACGTTAGCCAAAGTTGGAGTCAAAATAGTCAACCTATGAGACGAGCGCTGTTGGAGTAAAGAGGTTCATATAATCGTTATACTTCCCGCTAAGAATGCGGCGACAAAGGTAATCTTAGCAGCACATTGCCTTGGGCTGAACCACCCCCAACTCCCCGGAACCGAATGTTGGATGTGGAATGTCCACTCAACGTCGTCGAATCCATCCCAACGAGTGAATACTCGGGACTTGGAAGCCAGATGGGGACCCATGAAACTTCAATCCAACAACCGCCAGTCGAGATCCTGAAATACGTTGTAAATGAGTAAGTAACCGCCGTGGCGAACGGAAACTCGGGCCTCGCGAGCCCGTGTATCCCCGAAGGCCGCGCAGAGAGCTTGGTTCCGTCATCCCATCTCTGAACCCTCAAAACATCCCATAATCTGGGGTAGAGAAACACGCTCGAGTCGCAACAGCACCAATCCATCGCGCCGAACCTGGAGTGATTGGGCCAGCCACGCCCGCTTTGAACAGTGCGCCCTCCCAGATGGAAAAATACTCCATGTCAGCCACCAGCCTTTTGGGTCGTGCGCTGGGCGGACGTCCGACGCGGCTGATCATGCAGCCGACAGCACAGCGCAGGAGGAACAGATCTACGTGGCTCGGAGGCCGAAAAGAACGGCATCGGGACGTAAGAGAACTCCTACAGGAAGACATTGGACGAATGAATTCGTGCAGCGTGAGACAACAATGTCGTGAAACGTAATCGGTCCCGGGCGGTGATTCGTCCCGTTTGTAGAACGCCACGCGTGAGATGATGGGTTTATAAGGTGCGAACCTCCCCGCAACTTTACTCTGCTAGCTTAAGCAGACTTACATGTGGTTTCCATCTCTCATACGACGTCAACCCAACTGCCATTCTTATTAGAGATCACATATTACATCTCTCATCCCATATCAGCAACCATGGCCATCGCACCGTCAGGGGTCAGCCGGCCCTCCGAACTCGCCCACCTCGTCCTCCGCACGAACAACGCCAAGCGGCTCGTCGACTTCTACACCAAGTTCCTCAACGCGCGCGTGGTGCACGGCTCGGAGCTCATCACCTTCCTGACGTGGGACCACGAGCACCACCGCCTCGCGATCCTGCACGACGCGAGCGCGACGCCGCGGCCCGAGAACAGCTGCGGCATGGACCACTTCGCGCTGACGTTCGACTCGCTCGGCGCGCTGCTGACGTCGTACCGCGCGCGCAAGGAGATGGGCTTCGAGCCGGCGTACTGCGTGCATCACGGCATGTCGACGAGCATGTACTACCGCGACCCCGACGGGAACAAGATCGAGACGCAGGTGGACGCGTACGAGAAGCCCGAGGACGCGGTGGCGTTCATGATGAGCGCGGAGTTTGCGAAGGACCCGCGCGGGCCAAGGTTCGATCCGGACGAGATGTTGAGGAGGTTCGAGGCGGGGGAGGATGAGAAGACATTGATGGTGAGGGGGGCGGTGGCTCCTGTGAGTGAGGCGCAGGCGACTGCTTAAGGAAGACGGGCATTTGACTTGGCATGTGAGGTTGTGATTGAGGGTTTTGCATCGGTGGTCGTTGACGATGATGGCATTTATGATGGGTAATTGAGGGCTGGTACCATAATGAAGATTCAGAATAAAAGCAAGCACTTTCCCATGCCGTGCTCTATCTGGAAATAATGCGATGAATCAGTTGGTCGTTTGCTACACTCGCGGATTTGAGCTGCAGCCGCGAAGGAGACACCTGGTAGAAACTGCGGGCTTTGAATGAAGACTCCTTTCCAGTGCTACACGAGACACCTCAAACGTGTCAAAGCCGGATTAGCAGAAGCCGTCTATATAGGAGCTTGACAGTGTTTAGCTGTAATAGGATCAATACGATGCCGCAGGAAAGGTTTTGTCAGAGTGATGACCTGCAAAGTTTCTGAGGTTGTAAAGAATGTCGTCGAATTAAGCCTCGAGTTCTTACGGGGTACGCATCACCACTTGCAAGACCAAAGGATACGTTGGAACTAGTGAGTTCGCTGGTTATAGTATCAGTGCTCCAGGCCACCAGACATACATGCAGAGCAGCCCATGGACCTTCTCACCCATACCGATGATATAACGCGGATAAACACTTGGTCCCATGTGCGAGCCAATGGTGTCAAGACAGAATATAAACAACGGTAGCCTCAGCCATTTATGATTTATATGTAAAGACAGAATGTAATTTATATTGTAGAAGCTCAGACAAGTCGCTGCCCAGGTATCCAAGGCTTTCCACTCAAAGTTAAATCAACGTAATCCATCAGTCAGCCGCTTTGTCGTTCAGGTACGGCCAGACCACCCGCCCTCGGAGGTTGCGCGAGAGGGGTGAGCAGGATGATCCGGCCTCCAGGCATCTTTGCAGTGTCCAAATGCCTTCCGTTATCCTAGCCACCCGACGCCCGAGTGGGCCGGTTAAATCTGGCAGCTGATGGAGCCCCATTGGTTCTTGGTTGCGCTGTACCAGACCGTGTTCACAACACCGGCGGTGCAGCCGGAGCTGCCAGTGAATTGCCAAACCATCTCCCCGTTAACTTCGCCGCAACTGGTGGCGCTCTTGCCACAGGCGCCATAGCCGTTCAGGTTGTCCCACAGGCCGCCACACTTTCCGGGGATGTCGACGACGCCGGTGGCCCGAACTTGCCAGATGGGGATGGCCCTGTTGCCGAAGTTTTTGCAGGAGGCCGCGGAGGTAAAGGGCGTCATGGCCGCGACGATCAAGGTAGCTGCGGTGGTGAAATGCATTGTGATGTTGGGGTTTTTGGCGTCTTGAGTCGAGGAGCTCGAGAAGTGGGAGTTGTCAGGTGAGAAGATGAGGGTTGCTTGTTGTGTGATGAAGTTGAGGTGAGTGAGAAGGGTGAATTGTGAGTCGAGAGAGGCAGAAAAACAGTTGTTTAAATATCCTGAAGACTTGACTTGCAAATGAGAGAAGCTTCAATGTCTAAGTGATTCCGACTCTGAGTCCCCATACCTCCCCCCCAGCCAAAACTCCTCATGCGGTGCCTCGTAACGGTTTTGATCTTTTGTATTGTCGTTTTGATCTTTTGTATCGTATTGCAATTAAGTTTCTCCACATCGTTGTGGAAAAGAGTTGTGGATAATTCGGCTGCCTAACGTGTGTCCGGGTTTCTTCAGTCCTTTCAGGGTCCAAGGTCCACTCAGTGGATAGACGATGCTAGACCGCCATTACCACTGATGCGTTTAACACAACATAGCATTTTTTGATCGTACTATAATAGGGTAATGCGATTTACCAAAGATCCTCCAGGACATGATAAATGACCGTCAATCATTACTTAACTCGGATTGCTTACTTGCTTCGGGCAGCTCGGAGCTGGAGCGCCCTCCCGAAGGATGAAGTTGCGAGTCATGTCAAAGTCAAATAATTTATCATGAGATGCCTCATCGCAGAACATGTTCCAGGCCCAGCTATGTTGACATTCAACTATTCGCTCATGTCGACTCGGAAAAGTTGGCTGCGTTACTCTCCTTCTGTCCATCGACTTCTCATACGTGTCTACTGGTCTCGCTCCTTGTGGGTGCCCCGGCCATACTCGTTGGCTTTCGCCACGGCGACATATTCTAAAGGGGCGGTACACATCGTGCTTTGGACTCTTGATGATTCTTAGTGATTTTATCCCCATAGATCACGAAACTATGAGCTGGGAGGAACAAGGTGTTTCTTGGTGCCGGTTTGAAGGATTTAATTGAATCTGACAGCATTCCGGAAACTTTATTGAGCACTACTGGTTGCACTAACAGGGGGGATCCTCACCTATTCACCCGTTGATGCTGATCACCCACGAGCTTGGTAGACCGTAAAAGCAGTCATTTCAGGGCGAGGAGTTCGGTAACGTGATTGGACTTGACAAGTTGATCAACAAAGTGTAAACGCCACTGAAGAGTGGGCTGTTTTGCGAGCTGTCATGTGGCTTGAGTTCCATCAGATAACCGTATTGGGGCTGTGTCCTAATCTCTTACAACTTTCCAGCCGTCGTATCAAGATAGACTTTGGTTCCATATGACAGGTCACCAATCGCAAAGGTTAGAGTTGTCTTGAAATGTG